CTAGAAAACACGAATACTGTGGCAGAGGACACGGGATTAGGTACATTCCACAAGCTCTCCCTGACGCTCCGAGTAAACTACGAAAACAAGGTCGAACCCAAACTATAAAGCTAAAGGAGATTGTGACTAAACAGAAGGCTGCATCACCTTGGTCTCCATATCTTCCATCATATTGAGGTTATTTTCATTTTTCCACAACGATTGTCCTAAAATCTACTTATATCTTATATGAGTAATGCCTTCGATCGTAATGCAGGTAAAGGTTTGCCATAACCTCATCCTCAGCACAGGATTGTATGAAAGGTAGATGGACTATATGAAGTGGGGTTGAGAGAAAGAGATGCAACACTAGAAGGTAGAACAAAAATGGGGGCGAGAAGTGATGCCACAATTGTTGAACAGAAAATGTATAAAACGGGATTTCCTTCACTTGTCGCTTTGATAAGTTGTAACTTTGTTCTGATGATGGCACCTCGCATTGACGATGTCAGTGAAACGTTTGGGAATGTACCATGTCAGTGATCCGATGCTAGAAATCACGAATACTGTGGCAGAGGACACGGGACTAGGTACATTTCACAAAGTCTTCCTGACGCTCCGAGCAAGCTGCGAAAACGAGGTCGAACCAAAACTATAAAGCTAAAGGAGATTGCGACCAAACATTGGTCTCCATATCTACCATCTTATTGGGGTTATTTTAATTTTTTCACAACGATTGTCCTAAAATCTACTTATATCTTAAATGAGTAATGCCTTCGATCGTAATGCAGGTAAAGGTTTGCTGTAACCTCATCCTCAGCATGATTGTAATTTGAAAGAGGCTTGAATTGCATGAGGCTTAGTGATAACCTTGTCTGTATGATAGATTGACAATGTTTTGTCCTTTGAAGAGCACGAATCTGGTTCCAATCCCGTTGGAGTGAGGATGAGACAGTTTGGCGAAACTATAATTGTGGCCCGACAAAAAAACTTTTGGAGATAAAAGGATAAGTGAACTTGAACGGCATAGTTAGGTCTATTAAGTTAAGTGAAAATTGTAAGTTTGTAAATCGCTTGTAGCAAAAAATGCTGGCTCCATTTTTTATTCAATGAAATGCCTTAATTACAACAAAAAGACCAATTTGGGAATGGGAGGCTTAATTTCTTCACATAATTTCACATCAGCTCCAGATGGAATGTCGGAAACCTGCAGAGATTGACCATATGGCTCGGATTATGGTTGCCAAGATGCACTAATTGGAAGATCATCAGCTGACTGAGCCAGATCAGCACACGAGGCGAGCAATCCGATAGTACAAGGCCAGCAATTGCCTGAGCTGGTATGGGTCTGGTTGGGAGAAGTGGATTGAAATCCGGTAAGTCTGCCATGACGACTGCGAGTCAACGCTGACTATGCTGCTTTCATGGACAATCATTCTTATTAACTGTCTAGAAAGATCCCTTTTAAGTCTGAACTTTCCCTTAAGCTTATCTCCAACTCACATAAGAAGAAAGAGTGATAAGTTACATGTCATGTTATGCCGAAGATGCAGACATTATAAGTATAAAAGTTGTATTAATCCCATTTCGTGTATTGTGAAGAAGGACTGGTGGTTGGATTTTCCCACAAGCATATTAATATGCCTCATGTAGGAAAATCAAACTGCCAGTTCTTCCTCACTGAACAGCTCATATATCAGTTCTACTGGTAGTCTCTGAGACCTAAGTATCATACGAAAAATAGCAGAAGTAATCGTTTTAAGCCAACTTTCACTTCTTATTCCGCAACTCAACGAGTCCAAGCTTTGCTTAAAGAGGCTGTAAACAGCTAAAAATTAGCGAATAAGCTGATTTGAATGATTAAAATAGGTGGTTATATGAGCGAACATAAAGAAATCATGAATGTATCCTTTTATTATACTGAAAGTATTAGCGCTTTGTCTGCTTAAGTAGTTAGGGTGATTGAGTGACTGTTAGTTGAGCATTTCAATGTAATCATACAATTTGGTACCGATATATCTTTAAACCTCACTTAGCCTTGTATTCCAATAGTATTTCCATCTTTTATGAACAAGCAGGGATCCAAAGAGCCAGTTCCTAGTTTACTTCTGGCTTCAAGTGTCACACTTGTCTCCTTTTGTGCAAGAATTTATGGACAGTCAACACACTTGACAGTTACAATTTATATATTTTTATATTATTTAATTGGTTTTGATAATTTGCTGTTCAAAATGTAATTAGTTTATCGAAAAATACAAATGAAATGGCACTGATTTACACAAAAATCATGTGTAATTAAGTAATTGTGAAGATAAGCCGGTTCCATTCATACATGAGTCCGACAATTTTCGGTTACTGTCAACTTTCTTGATTTCCATTAATCTGGTTGGATTAATAAAAAAGCGATAATGTTAATCTTTGCTAATGAAGCTCTTAACAGCTAAATCTAAGACATACTTAGGGGATAGCGATTCGGTCTCGAGACTATGACTGTGAAATTTAATCGTCTTGAGTCGCATAAGCTAATATTAGTCTGACGGTGGGATTTTTGCTCCAATAAAATTAGTAGGCATTAGAGTCATGTTGGGATTGTCGATGAGGCAAACGGGTTTTTTTTCACCGCATTCTATAATGTTATTTGCTACTTGGTGAATAGATTCCGACATTTTCTGTACTATGCATCGAGTTACGCCATTCATCGCAACGGGGAATGAATGTTTACCCCATCGACGATCCTACCATAAATGCGAATGGCTAGAGACCCGATTGACTTTAAAAATACCATTTAACCTGTCAGCCACTATCAACCGTTAATGGTAACTTGTTGCCAATTTACGTGCAAAACCCTGGCTACATCATGTTTGGGCGGAGGCAAGGTAGAAACTTCAGTCCAGGATAAATAAAAAAGACCTTAAGAAATAGGATCTAGTCATTTAATTGTGGAAAAATTCAACTCTTAGGCCCAAATCAGTGTATTTCACCTAAGCTGACTAAACTTTTTATAATTTGTGAATATTGAAAATGTTGCTCAGCTATTCGGGCCATTAAATTGTCTAATATAAAATGGGTTTTAAGGCAATATTTGACATCTCATTCAATGGGAAATTTATCTCAAGCCTATTGGTGAGTGCGTTTGTCTATCTCGCATGTGAAAAGCTCCAATAGGAAAATGCGACGAACATGTCCCAGGCCTCTTTTAACAAGATAGTATCATGTGCTTCGTTGGCTCCGTGGGTTGTGAAACGACCTGCATCCCATTCTACCGAAATGACAATACAGCACCCCCAGTCTACCCAGCGGTAGATAAGATGCTTAGCCTAGTCTGGCCCAGCCTGGCTGTAAACCTGTTGGTTAATGCGATAGCTGTGGCACGGAAGTTAAAAGGTCGCTGGACCAAGCTGGATTATCGCTGTTCACAGAAGCAGAGATAACATGCCCTGTCAAATCGAG